GATGGGAAAATAAATAGTATCATAGATTGCACATGGTATTTTTATCTGAGTTAACTCTGAAAAAAAAAAGGTTTGTTTAAGTGCTTGAGTTCAGGAGATGCCAGTATTATTTCCTAAACTTTTAAATTAGACTCAAATGTAGCCTCTGGCAGCTGACAGTATTTTGAACACTGGAATCTATTTTTGTGACTAAAGAGCTCTCAGCCGTGTGGCGAGAAGAGCAAAAAAACAAATAGAAAAGCCATAAGAAAAAAAAAATGTTTCTCTTTGCTCCTTCACAAGTAGACATTCAACATTTGTAGGCAATGTTCATTGAGACTTTACTGGGTGTCAAGAACTGTTGTTCTAAACCCTGGAGTGTGGTATTTCACTCCTCCCTCACAGCGATCCTGGGGGACACTTTGATTTTTATTACTCTCATTTTCCAACAGTTGTCTGTGCTGCCCAGTTCCTCATCAGGTTTCACTCTGAAAATGTTCTGTACTCTCTGCCTCCCCTATTCCAGAAAGGCATTTAGTTATAATTGACCCATCCCACTCATTTCCCTCCCTCTCTCCTGAGGTCCCAAAGCCCTCAGACCTCCAACAAAGGACCAATCTGTGATGGAAGATAGGCCCAAGATGAAATTTCAAGCTTACTACTGTCAAGGGATAAACTTTTTACAGGATACAATCATGAATGTCATACAATACATTCATGTCCAGGATTTGATTTAACTTACTAATGAGGGAACCAGTAAGATGTACACAATTCAAAGAGGACTCGGAAAAGCATGCACATGTGGACAATGGAAGCCCCACCTCTCCCCACAAGCTATCTATTGGCATATACCTGAAAAACTGCATTTGCATTTCAATGGACTATTTTGATAGTGTTATGACCAGTTTTCTAGAATGTACAGAATCATAACATAGCTCAGAGATCATGACTGGCACAAACCCCCACAGGAAAAAAAAACCCAAAAAAACGATACCTAATATGCAGTTAAAAGGACACCTGGTAATCTCTTTGGCCTATTTTTAAAAGAATCCTAATCTTATACCTGGCACTACTTAGCCACTACATCTCTAGAGAGTCGCTTAAATCCTGAGGGATTTCTCATCATCTGTAACAGGGAAGCGAAAGCACAAATCCCTCCAAGCTCTCAGGCGACAGGAGGGCTTTAGAACTACGCATCTTTCTCTGTCCAAAGTATTTCCTCATTCTGCTTCAGCTCGTGCACTTTAGCTTGTGCCTGTTCCCCATCCTCGCCACCTCCCTCCAAGCAAGGTCTCTTCCACTTAGCACCACCAGGACATGCTCCAGGGCACCTTTGGTAAAAATCAGGTGGAAAGAGGAAAAATCGTCACAAAGCTGGTGGGGTAGACTTTCCTGCCTTCCTGTTCCCCACCCCCAAGGTCAAGGCAACCAAGAAGACCAAGTCCTTGGTAATGTAAATCAAGACTAGGAAGACAGTCACCATCCTCCTGTAAAAGGGACACACCTACAAGGGGGATACATCTTCCCAAAAGGCCTTATGGATTCTTTAGACAGATATACCACCCAGAGGCCAGGCCACCCTGAAGTCCTTCCTCCTTCCCCTCACCCACCCTTACTGTGGAACAATCCCTAGCTCCAACGAAAATATTGTTAAGTCGGCCATCACTGGGACAAGGGGCAAGGCAGTCAAAGATGTCTAAAGGGAGGAAGGATGGTGGGAGATAAGCTGGACAGGCCCAGGAGGCTCAACAACTCCATCCCATGGATTCTGTTTGGGATGAATGACATCATGGACCCCTCATTTATTTACCAACAGAAAAGACATTCTTGGGGATTCCCTGTGAGTAACTGGAATAATACAAAGCACACTCTAGGCTGAGTCCCCACAGCCTAGCACTTGGGGCCTCTCAGGGCATCTCAAAGTCCCGATTTGTCACCCATCTTAGTTTATTTTAAGCTACCATAAGAGAATGCAACAGATTTAGTGATTTATAATAAACAGAAAACGTATGTGGCTTATAGTTTTGGAGGCTGGGAAACCAAGATCAAGGGCAGTGCCTGGCGAGGGCCTTCCTGTTATATCATAACATGGTAGAAGAAGACACCCATGGGTGACAGAGTGAAATACTGAACTCATCCTTTTACAAGGAACCCACTCTGGCAACAAGCACTCCCTTGATAATGGCACTGATGGATCTCTGAGGCAGAGCCCTTATGGGCTACTCATCTCTTAAAGGTCTTACCTTTCAACATGTTTACAGTTGGAATTAAGTTTCCAACACATGAACTTTGGGGTACATATTCAAACCACAGCACTGCCATATGATTTCCTAAAGGGTCCCCTCTCTAGCCTCCCTAACTGACCCTTGAACAAGAAGATACTGGAAATCACTGAGCTTGTCTGGTACCCAGAGGATGCCCTTCCTTCAAATGGAAACCCATACAGAAGAACATCTCAATAATATATAAACATTGACATAAAGGATAATCAGGGACATGCAGAAACTTACCCATGAGGATGTCCACTGCAATGTGTCTAGAAGCATGGAAAACAGAAACAAAATAGATGTCCAGCAATAGGGGATTAGTTAAATAAAACATAGTAAAACCATCTGGTACAGTGCTAGATAGCCTCAAAATGTAATGTAAGGTAAGAGAGGGAATGTCATAGTTAGCAAGACCACTCCATTTAAGGATACTTATAGAGTTGGAAAGAAAGGAAGAAAGGAAGGGGCTCAATGATAGCTGGATTCTATTTTCTTCTTTCTCCTTTGGAGTTTTCCAAGTGGCCTATACAATATATATTTGTGATGGATGGATAGTAGATAAAAGAAAGAAAAAGATTAATCTAGGTAGGTAGCAGGCAAACAACCATAATCCAACTTCCAAGGCTAGACCCAGGGAAAACAGTTCTAGGTCTGAGGAACAGGCTGGCCCTGGCAGATCAGTGATACTAAAGCGCCCAGTGGAGGAGAATGAACTTTTTAGGGCTGATGTCTTCCCTAAGGACTCACTCTAAGTGAACCACTCCATACCACCCCCACTACAAACACACACACACACACACACACACACACACACACAAAGGAATAATTAGAGTACCCATCCTGTGAGGATTAGTCTCTGCTCAAGGAGATCAAGGTCACCTTTGCAAATCGAGCAGAGACTTGGCCTAGGAGACTTATAGCCTCTAACCCTACCTCTGTGGCCTTGGCCTGTGCTCTTTTTTCTCTGATTTTTTTATTTGTAAATATACAAAATAAATGCATAGGATGGACAAAAAGCCTCTCCAGGCCCCTTTTCTGGGGACTCTGAGAGAAGCTTCCCTCCATTCTGGCCCCATCCCCTACACCTGGAGATGCCCCCCATGGCAGCCCCAGATGAGCTGGGATGCTCCAGACTGGGTCCTGGGAGGGGTGAGGGAAGCAGTGCTAGAGGCAGGGGCCAGAATGAAGAGCTTGCCAAAAGAGGCCCAGAGGGTCCTCACCACTGAGGCCCCAAACCACCCCGTTGCTCCTGCCTCCCCTGGGAAGCCCAAGCCGGGATGCCTGGCAGAGCTGGGGCAGAATGAGGTTTGTTTCTTCTGGAAGCCTGCTCTGCCCCCACCCTCCCTGCAGAGCCTGTGCATGGCTCACTTCCTTCCACAGCATCCCCAGGGCTCCTCTGCCTCCCCAGGGTTTAGCATCGACAGGCTCAGCTCTTTGGCCTGTTTTATTTTTGAGAAACACTTCCCAGCAGTGGCAGACCTCTGGGTTGTGAAACAAACCTGGCTTGCAATCCCCGGGCCTCTTTAAACTCCAGTTCCTTTATCAATAAAATGCGGGGTTAGGACAGGGCTGGCAACAATGTATCTCATCAATTCATTCATCAAATTTAGGAGGGCACCCTGTGTTCAGACCCCTGCAGCTCCACCCAGATGCTGCCCTTACGAGGCTCCCAGGCAAGTCGAGATTTAAAAGGATTCCATAAGTAACTATGAAGCACCCCAACATAGCAAGGATGCAATAAATGGGGTTAATGAAGAAAAGGAGTCCTGGGGGATGGGCTGGGATTTGTCCAAGGCTCCAAAGTAGGGCACCGGCAGAACAGTTGCTGGAGGCTCGGGGGACAGGCTTGCATCTGCCAGGGCTGACCTTCCAGGGCAGAGGGCATAGAGTGGGTGGGCTGCGCAGGAAATAGGCCAGCCCATCACTCAGAGTGGAGGCCTCGGCCTGGCCTAGGTGACGCCCTGACATCCCAGAACTCCCCTGCAGGCATCTGGGAACACGATTCCTTCCTAGGGCCCCTCCCAATGGACAGGCCATGCTGTGTCCCTCCTGCCCCCTCACCCCTCCATTCTGCCCTTTGCTCTTCGCCTGTGACAGGGTTTCCCTGCCCAAGAGCCCAGCCTGTGCCTGGCTACGTTCTTCACTGGGGTATGGTTGGTCCACACTTTCCTGCACGTGTCTGTATATCTGTCCTCTGTCCCCGTCTCTAGGTCTGTTCTTCCCTTCTCACGTCTAGCTGGCGCGCCGGCCTCCCTGCATCTCCAGGCCTCCCAGGCGCCCTGCCCCGCCTGCCGCTGTGTGGGTGTCGGGCTGGCTGTGCGCAGAGGGGCGCGGCTCGGCCCTCCCCCCTCCCCCGCGTCCCCCATCTCAGGAATGACCCGGGCCGCGGCGCAGCGGTGCTGAGGCCCGCGAGCCGCGCCACCGCCGAGGGGGACTCGAGCGGGTGACGGTGGCGTGGGCGGCGGCGCGGGGACGACGGGCGGCCGGGCGGGGCTGCGGCAGGGCAGGGCCGGGACCGGGTCCTGGGCGGCCGCCGCCGCCTCCTGGGCCGGGATCGCGGGCGGCGGGTCAGCTCTGCTCGGCCCGACCCCGCGTCGCCTGGCCCGCCCCGCCCCTGCGCACCGAGCAGGCCGAGGAGGAGCGGCGCGCCCCCCGCGACGCCGGAGCCGGAGCCGGAGCCGGAGCCCGAGAGCGGCGGCATCCGAGTGGGAGCCGGAGCGGGAGCCGGAGCCAGAGCGGGAACCCGAGCTGGAGCCGAAGCTGGAGTCAGCACTGCGGCGCACCGAGCGCAGCGCGGCAGCCAAGCCGAGTAAGGGGCGTGGGGCCGGGGGCGGCGCTGGGGGGCGGGGAGGGGTCCCGGCCCGCTTCCCCCGCGCTCCGCCGCGGCACCGGCGAACGCACACACCCGGGGGCGCACCGCGCGGAGCCTCTGCTCGCCAGGCGGAGGGATGCGCGGTTCGGAGCGGAACCGCAGCGCGCTCGGAACGGAGCGGGATCCCGGGACTTCTGGGGACCCCCGCCCCGGCTCCCGCGCCCTCAGACAGGCCGACCCGAGACTGGCGCGGAGGCTGCCCCGAGCACGCCCTCGGGCGGCGGGGAAGGCGAGGTCTCCCTACCTGACCGAAACCCGGGACCATCATCCACCCGGGGGAGATAGTGTGGGGGGACCTAAGGCGGTCTCCCCGACCCCAAGTCCTAGGTTTGGGGGATCCATGAGCAACCCACCTAAGAAGGAAAACTAGGACACACTCTTGGCGGGAGTAGGAAAGGAAGTAGGGTTTTATGGAGTTTGAGCTTGAACCTTTCTCCCACTCCCTTGAGCCGGGAAGTTTGACCCTCCGACGGGCGAGTCACCCGGGCCATGCCCCTGCTTCGGTGCCAGCTGCTCTGGCCTATCTCAGCACCCATGGTGGGAGAGGGAGCTTCCTCGGCCGCACCTTCTCCCCTTTTAGGACAGACTTTACTGTGCGCCGCAAGAGGGACCGATTCTGAGACCCAGGAGGCAGATCCGCTGGCCGCGTGGTGCTGAGCGGCACAGCCACCTCTCCTGTCGCCTTCCAAAACCTTGTAGTGCCCACCCCACCCCCGGCTGAGTCGCGCGGCCTTCTTTCTCTCCTTGGGGCTCTGTGGTCTGGTGGCTGGCTGCGCAGTGAGGACCCAGGCTGCCCCCCGGTCTTCTAAGATGCCAACATAGGTGGCCAGGTCCAGAATGGGAAGAGGAGGTCCCAAGTGACAGGTGCGAGAAGCAATGGCTCCAAGGGCTTGACCTGAATAGCAGAGTCTGGGTCTTGATCCATGTAGTCCCAGGGCACCTGCCAAGAGAATACCCCTCTGGACTCTCTCCTCAAACATCCCAACTGGAACCAGTGAATTCACCACCCTGTGCCTCAATTTCTCCTCTGAAAAGTAGGCAGGATTCTATTATGAGCGAGGTATTTAAAGGCTTTGGAACCAGAGGGAGGTCTAGGTGACTTATTAGCTGTATGACCTTAAGCAAGACACTTAACCTCTCTGAGCCTCAGTTTCCCCTCCTGAAATTGAGGGACAGTGAATTGGGAGGATTAAATAAGATAATTCCCAGGGGTGCATGCCACACAGCTAATACCCAATTGCATTTGGCTACAGATGTCATTTTATGAGATGACCAGCACCAGTAGATGCTGAGACAAAGTAAATATCCCTGAAATGATGAGCACTTTAACCCCCACCTCTGCGATTTTGAATCCCCTAAGGTCTGTTAGCATGTTATTGCAAAGCAAGACTTTCTCCTTAGACTCACACTTTCTCAGGCACTCCCTTAGGGCTCTCTGCCCAGACCAGCTCTCCCCTTCCTGCCTACCATCCCCCTCCAGGTTGGAAAAGGCTCACCTGACCATTAGAGGTACTTTTCCCTCTTTGTCTTAGGCTGATGTCTGCTGTTCCAGGCAGAGGGGCCCCACATATTGCTCATATTCTGTATAAGGGAATTTACACACCTCCCTCCACTCCAGAATTAGGGGCACAGGGGAGATTGCTTTCCCTGGATAGCGGTCTGGCTGTCAGATGGCTTTTGGATTTGCCATTGATGATGATTCAGACAGGCAGCAGGAAGTAACAGGGAGAGCCACCCAGGTAGGGAGACCCACCCAGGAGGGCTAAGGGGTGCCGGCCTGTACTCTTTTTGACTCTGATGTCTTCCTCCAGTTGGCTAGGTCCTGAGGCTCCCAGAAATGATAAGGAAAGAAATGGACCCAGGGACTGAAGGAGAGGTTAAGATTCAAAGTAGGATGGTCCCCAGGAAGGGATCTGCCCCAGTCTTGCAACTGGTACCTCTGACCCAAAGTAGAGTAGACAGATGTCCGGGGCTTAAGGAAGATTCTAGGGTCCTTGGGGTGACATGGATGGTGTAGGTTATCAGGAGCATTGATGTAAAGAAAGTAGAAGTCCAGTGTGTGGACACTCATATTGGTCCCTGGCCACCTATGGCCTGGCTGCCCAGAACAGGGGTGGAGAGTGATTTCAGATTAGGAAACATGCTCACTTGCTGCCAGGAAGGGACCTGGTGAGACCCACAGAATGGCTGCCTTCTCAGCACTCCTTCTGCACAGACTCCCCTCTCCTGTTCTTCCTCTGTGGCCCACCCCCTTCCCCATTAGGGTGTCACATCTCTGCATCTTCCATAATCCTCACTCCCCATCTTCCCAAAGGAGTTAATTAGAAGCTAATTAGGTTTGTGTCTCCTGGTTCACACCGTACTTGGAACACAGCTGATAGGGAACATGATAAGGGCTAGGGTGTGATCCTCTGTCTGGAATAGTCAGCAGGACACCCTGAGAGGACTGTTACCTGAAGCTCTTGCCGTGGAAATACCCAGAGCACAGAGTGAGGGGCGGACAGCAAAAAATCCGCTCAGCCTCCTAAAGGAGAAATTGAGGCCAGGAGGGCTTCAGGAGTCCCTCGGCCAGTGATCACAAGGCAGAGTTGTGGCCCAGAGCCCAGCTATTTGGAGCTGGACTTTCCGGGTTTACAGCATGTGATTCTGGATGGTGACTTAACTTTTCAGAGCCTCAGTGCCATCTTGAAACGGAGACTAAGTCTTACACAGTCTCCCAGGATAACTGTGAGGACTGAAGAAATAATGCATTGGAAGCTTGTCAAAATGTCCAGTGGCCCTCTGCCAGTGGCCCTGCCCTGTCTCCACTGCGAACACGCATCGGGCACACACTGTTTCCTAAACATAAACATTTACTCATTGAATTCTGACAACAGTTCTTTGATGCGGTGGGGGTAGGGAAGGGAGTCCACAGGAATCCCGGGGTCCTCTAGCTGTCCCCATTCTGTCAGAGAGAACCCTGAGGTTGGAAAGGTTAAGGGCCATCTAGCTCTAGCTAAATGCAGAACACTCACACTTCACTGTGACTCATCATAATTTTATACGAGTTCTTAAAATTGAAAATTAACACACGTAACTTCGAGGACATGTAATTAGTTACTGAGATGATGCCTCAGTGGAGATCGTCAGCAGTTTTATGTCTGGGAACTGAAGAAGAATATATTCCTTGTCCACGGGGCTATAGAATTTTTAGAGACATCATTTTTTTTTATTCAAACAATAATCAAATTGATTTGATCAAATTAAAGAACAATCTCCATTCATTCTACCCCTTCTCTGCATAGCCCTCAACATCCCTAATATGTATAGATCTATTCATATATTTGTTGTCTTGTTTTGCTAATATCACATGAGCAGGGACCTATGATCATCTTGTTCACTATGATGTCCCCAGAGCCTAGAATGAATGATAGTTAGCATTTGGTGTGCTTTGCAAATTATAAAGTGTCTTATAAACACAAAGTCTGTTATTGTTATTATTTTTGCCAAGCATATAGATCTATTGGAAACAAAACATTACAGTTTATGGAAGAAACCATTCTCTCAAATCTTTGGCAAATATGACTTGTTCAAGGACTGGGGGTAGCTTAAGTTTAAAAATGATGCAGACTATTTTTTTCTAATATTTTAACAAAACTGCTTATCATTAAATTTGAAGTCAAGTTCACTTTAAAAATCTCTTTAGTAACACATGATAAGTTCCAAGGCATTTAAATTTTTCAGTGAGTTAACTAACAGTGACTTAATCACTTCATTACCTTTTACTTTGTTAGCACAAAAGATTTTATCCCAAATCTTCATTTTAATGATCTTTTAGACTATAAAAGTAATATGTGTTCACTATAGAAAACTGGGAATATTATAAAAATATAAAGAACATAAAAATCCTCCTTAATCTCACCACCACACAGAGAGCACAGTAACTGTGAATAGTATATTCTATTTCCTTTCTAATCTTTTGCAATGTATGAATATATTCTCTAGGGATTTTTCTTTCACAAAGTAAGGATCATGCTGTGTGCACAGTTCTATAATCTGTTTTTTAAATATCCTGGGCTTTTTTTTTCCTTTTAGAATTATTTTGAAAGTCTTTATGTTATGAAAAATCTTGAAAAACATGATTTCATGGCTATATAATAGTCCGTTATAAATGGGTGCCATCATTTGCTCAGTCTGCCATCTCTTATTGGTGGGCACATATTGGGGTTCCCTTTCATATTTCAATGTCATAAACTCTTATGTGTGTCTCTTTGGGTGTGTCTGAGCCCTGAATCAGGTTTCTCTAAACCCTTGATGACAGGAGCTACTTCCAGCTTGCAGTTGGGCAGGTTGATGGGTATAGATAGGAAACCAAGCCTTCTGTTTGGGCCACAGTGATGATAGGAAATTGGGTGGCATGGATGCAGTGGTGGTGTGGGCCATCTAGACCTGCAGTCTCCATCTCTACCATCTCCACCATCCACCAGTCACAGAATCGCTCTCACCTCTTCCTCTTCTCCCCCTCTCCCTGGAATCCATCTGCTCCGCAAGCCAACCCCGCACTCTCCTGGCTACTCGAGCTAAATGAAAGCAGCGTGGAGACCCAGTAACTTCTCAGCCATCCAGTGGGGCACATGTGTGGGCAGATGGTGCATGGAAACAGAGGGTCTCCTTGCTGCAGAGAGTCTCACACACCTGGATCCCTTTTCTAACATCAGGACCAAGTTACCTATTGACAAACTTCAGGGTGTCCCGCCCACCTCTCACTCGATGTTCTCACCCTCTTTTTGTACCCTCCTCCTGAATTCACTCACTCCTGCGTTCAGTCAAGGACGCACATTGCATGATTTACCCACACTTGCCAGGGAATGCTCTTCTAATATTAGAAAAGAACGTAAAGAGCTTCCTATGACAGGAGAAAGGATCCCACTGCTCGGGAACCTGGCCTGTAGCCCCAG